AGGGGGGGTGGGTTTCAGGATTGTTGGAATGTTTTTATATTGTACTGCATTTTTTGTATGGTATCTTAATGTGTATGCTGCCCCAATTGCTCTGCAAAGGGGTGGGATATAAATAATAATAATAATAATAATAATAATAATAATAATAATAATAATAATGTGGTTATATACAATGACATTAATTATGATATTTCATTTATTTTGGACTAAATCATTTCCATTCCATGGTGCCTAATCTTTGCTGCAGTCATTATGATAGACTGGACTCCTCAGACAAAAATGGTGACAGGGAAGGGGACCAACTTTCCTTGGTGTATTTTCATAGCTTTATTTGATTCATAAGTTTATTACCTCACAAGTTGCCACATGTGATTTGGCAAGTTTTTATAGCAATTTATTATTTTATTAATAGAATAATAGCAGAAACAACAATAACAACAATTACAACAACATCTGCCATTTCCCCCTGTTTGCTTGCTCTGTAGTACAGTTAGGGCTATTCATAGTTTCTTTCATGATTTTGTGAGACGTACTACGGCTGCATATCCCCCCTGTCTCCTGCAAGCTTATAAATACAGTCTGAATAATGTCTGAGGAAACCCCTAGATGATGAATGAAAACCCCTTGCACTGTCAGGAATCCAGTCTAGAAGATATTTCAAGCTTAAGAGTTTAAATCAAAAGCAATCTCTAGGGGAGACGGTACGGCTCTAAAAAAAGAACATTTCTTCAGCACAAAGAAAGGAATTGGCAAAATCACCTCTGAGCTTCCCTTGCCTAAGAAAACCCTGTGAATTTTGTGTGGTTACCATAAGTCAACAGGCTATTTGAAGGCACACAAACACAACTATGACACTACCAAAATGAATTTAAACTCAATTGGTATGTGAGTATGTTATTTATTTTTGTATGAAAATAGCTTTAAAGCCAGTGTGTGATATATCACACTGAACACAACACATAACACATGCCATGATCAGACTTGGTGGGTCATAAGGAATTATACCAGAAATGGAAAGCTACTTATTTGAACTACAGTGGCCATGCTGGGTGGAAGATTCTGGAAACTGTAGTTTTAGAAGTAACTTTCCAGAGATAGGATTTTCTGGTTAACCAGGGTAGTAACTTAGGCTGAATGTATTGGGTAGAGGGGGAGAGAACAAGGGTGAATACTAATTTTATGTTAGCATTGGAGAAAGTCACATGGAAATGCAAACTAAATAATGTCCCCCATCCCCACCTATGGCTGAGATCCTACATCACATAGTTACATGATGATTTCCTCTGCTGAATACTAGGATTGGTCAATTGCTTGTATATCTGCCCTTTTGCCTTCTTATAATCCCATTGGGCATGCCCCATTGCCCAATGGCTGTTTCTGCAATTTCAGTGAATAAAGTGGTTGATTCCCTTAATATTTGTCTAATATTTAGGCCATGTTGCTTGTGGATATGTTAGTTGTAGTTCAGCATACCGGAAGGCACCAGATTGGGGAAGTATTTCTCTAGTATTTATATAAGAACCTATAGAAGAAGGGAGCAAAACCTGGCTCTTTCCTTGCCCTACCTTGTTTAACTTTGCTATTACGAGCACATTTCCCATACAAAGGGTCTGCTGTCACTGATGTGTCAACTTGACACTTCCTGGAATATCAGCATCTGAGATAAACAATGTTATCTAGTGTGCATTCAGCATTCACTAAGCGAACAAACAATTCTTCAATGTGACTTGGTTAAATAATGTTAAGGACACAGGCCATCAGGAAGAAAACTATAGAATCAGATAGCCTCCTGCTTGCTTCGGGGGGGGGGGG